ATTGCTAAATTAGCTTCTGCTAAGGTTGCTTCTCTTTATCGTGCTCGCCATTTCCTTTCTCTATTTCTTTAATTCCATTCTCTACCTCTACAAATCTCTTATTCGTCCCTGTATGGAATACTGTTGTCATATTTGGGCTGGTTCTTCTAACAATTCACTTTCTCTTCTTGACATGGTCCAAAAATGCATTGTAAATGTTGTTGGACCTGGACTATCTGCTAAGCTTGAGCCTTTTTCCCATTGTCGTAAAGTTGCATCTCTTTCTCTTGTCTACAAATACTATCATGGTCACTGCTCAAAGGAGTTATCATCTCTAGTTTCATCAACTAAAATTCATTCTCGTTTTACTCTTCATTCAGCTAAGTCTCATTCGTTTACTTTATTTGTCCCTGCATGCTCTAAAAACTTGTTCATCTAGTTTTTTTTCCCGCACTTCAATCATTTGGAACTCTCTCCCATCTTCATGTTTTCCTGACTCATACAACCTTTAACTTTTCAAGTCTTCTGTCAACTGTTTATAACTCTGATCTTTTTTTTCCTAGTAACTCCCAACTTGGCTGTTAATAAAAATATATAAAATAGCTTTTAAAATATGCAAAAATTTTATAGAATTAATTATACAGAATTCATTTTATACTTTAAAATTAGGAGATAAATATTGTCATGACAATAACTTCATAATTTTCAACTTTAATATATATTTTGTTTACGCAATAGAATGCAAGTGACTGTAGATGTGGCTGCTTGCAGTCTTGTTGGGAGTGAATGCAAATAAAAAAAAAAATGTATATTTATAAACACTGATGTAGAAACAGGAGAGGGAGGGGGCGGAGGAGGCAATTGCCCTTCTATTTTAAACACTAGAAGGGGGGGAGGGAGGGGAGACACATGATTTAGCCTCCCCAATTCTTAAACAGTTTTAAAAAAACTTTTATAATAGCAACAGAGGAATCATCATTTTCCAGTCTGCAATGACTTAATCTTTATTGGGAGTGAATGCATATAAAAAAAAAATAAAAAAATAAAAATAAAAAAAACAATAAAAAAAAAAAAATAATAATAAAAAAAAAAAAAAGAGACGCAAGCTCTTTAGAGTAGTGCCCATTATAGTATAATGTAATTAAGAGAAAGAGAAACAATATGATAATGGTTGATGGTTGGCTGCAATTAAATTAAATTTGAAAAGCCAAATAAAGTCGAGAATAAATTTTTAAAGGCTCTGGGGATTATGTACAAGACAAAACATTTATTAAATATTATAAATATTAAAAAAACTTATACTATTTATTTATACATAGTCAAATAAACTACTGTAATATTGCTTTGGCAAACAATTGTATTTCTTTCATTAAAAATATTTATACAAAGCGATTACAAGTCAATTAGTTTTGGGCCCAGATTGGTACAAAAGTGCTGAGCTGTTACTCAAGGAAATAAATGCTCTAAACATATATGAACTGAATATCTACCATAACTTGTTATTTAAGTTTAAATTTCAAAATCAATCAATTCCAAAATATTTATATATAGACTTTTCTTTAATTAATCATAAATATGAAATAAGACACTCATTCAATTAGTCAAAAATCACTTATATATATATATATATATATTAAGGTAATTTTTGTTACCTTAATATATATATATATATATATATATATATATATATATATATATATATATATATATATATATATAATAATATATATATATATTACCTTAATATATATATATATATATTATATATATATATATATATATATATATATATATATATATATATATATTTTAAGGTAACAAAAAAAAAAGTGTTCAAATTTTCACCTTCAACCCTTTATTGTGTTTCTTTTAACTAAAAAATAAACTGTGCAAAAATTTATTATGATGTTTTGATATCTAGGGGTTGCTCAATGAACTATATATATATATATATATATATATATATATATATATATATATATATATATATATATATATATATATATATATATATATATATATATATATATATATATATATATATATATATATATATATATATATATATATATATATATATATATATATATATATATATATATATATATATATATATATATATATATATATATATATATATATATATATATATATATATATATATATATATATATATATATGTATATATATATATGTATAAATATATATATATATATATATATATATATATATATATATATATATATATATATATATATATATGTATGTATATATACTACAGGAAGTTGGGATCTGTTATAATCATAAATAGAATTCTTTAGAATTTTAGACTCGTCATTTGTTTTTATAATTTTTTAAAGAGAACTTATTTTCATGTGTGAATTTAGTAAATAATTCAGATTTTTATTCAGTAAATTTTTTTGAATATTAATTTTTATATATTATTTTATATATTTCAATATTTATAAATTTTATTTATTTTAAGCTCAAATTTGATACGGAAAAAAAGAATACAAAAAAGCGAAACAGAACTAGAAATGTTATTTGGTTCAACCCCCATATAGCAAAAATGTTTCCACTAACATATGAAAAGTGTTTTTAAAATTAGTCGATAAGCATTTCCTGCCCTCTAATAAATTACATAAACTTTTTAATCAAAATACAATTAAAATTAGCAACAGCTGCATAATAAATATGGAAAGAATTATAAAAGGTCACAATTAAGTTTTGTTAAACAAAAAAGAAATCCTAAATGAAAAAACTACAGAATATTGTAATTGTAAACTAAAAAACAATTGTCCAATGAGTGGAAGTTGTTTATCAAAATATGTCCTATATAAATGAGTTGTTTCCTCTAGGGAATGTACCTGATAAACAATATATTGGCATAACAGAGGGTGAACGGAAAAAACATTTTGCCAATCATAAGCAATCTTTTAAAAGTATTCAAAAGACACCATGCTGTCAAAACATATATGGGAATTAAACCCCCCTTTTAAATATAAAAAAATATATATATATATATATTTAAAAGGCACAAAAAATAAGTTTCTTCTAATAAAGTATAAAAATAAGTGGTATCAAATAATTAAAGTAATATTAAATCCCCCTTTTTAAGTTTTTTAAAAAAAAAGCATAAGTTATCATTTCTAAAGAATTCTTTTTATAATAGTTCAGGAAATTCCACAAATGTGTGAAAATCTACAGTAGTTTAGACATTTATATATATTACCAGCATACAAAACACACACAGATATATATATATATATATATATATATATATATATATATATATATATATATATATATATATATATATATATATATATATATATATATATATATATATACATTTGTGTTTTGTAAGCTGGTTTTGTTGTCTTGATTCAACTCTGGTGACTAAGAAGAAAACTTGTGTTTTCAAAACAACAAAACTAGAGCTCAATGATATGTGAAAAACTTACTGCATCTAGCCAGAGACAAAACATTACTATATTACGCTTTGTAATAATCCATAAAGCCTTAATAGAAAGTACGTTTTATTAAATAATTATAAACTCATGTCCATTTAGTTGGGTCATCGTTCCAAGTATTTGCCAGAAACTTGTATGGATTCCAAAAATTGCAAGTTTGTTTATAAAACTTTTCATTAACCGACATTTTTTTTTTAAAACTTTTTTGTACAAACTCTCCAGCTTATTAACTCAACTAATTGTTTGTTTTCCTCTATCCAATATGGTAACAAGTTATTTTTTAATGTTTATTTATGCTATGAACACAACTTATCTTTGCACTTGAGGATCCTTTTAAAAATAAAATTTAATTTTGGACATTTTCCTTCGTTTATTCTGTTGAGTAAAAAAAAATTTTATTCTTAAATATAACCAGCTAAAAAATATATATATATATGATATATTTTGAATAATATTATAAACAAATTTTTTTATCTTTATCCAAATAATCAAAGTTTAGCTTGAATAAACATAACTGTCAATATTTTAAAATTAAAGTTTAGTAATTCATAAAATATCCATTAATAATTATGTTGTTTATTAAAATTAATAATTGATAGCAAGGGTGGATTCAGACCATGTCATAAAAGGGAAGGGGGAATTTTAAATACTTTTTGATATGGGGTGTGCAGATATTCTAGTAAGGGGGGTGGGGGCAATTTTTAGATTTAATGATTTGTAATAAGTAATTACACAATTTTAAATTTGCTCAACATAGTTTTATTAAAATTGTAATTTTATTATTTCCTTTTTCACTTGCTGTGTTTAATATATAAACTTACAAAAATCAAAAGTTTCAAAACTTTTTTAAGGAGGGGAGGGGGGGTTGATGATTGCCTCCTATAGATCCGCCCTTGATTGACAGTAACATTATTTTCATATTATTATAAACTTTATAGCAATAAACAGACCAGAAAAAGTAAAAAACAAATTTTTTATTTTTAAACTAAAACAAAGTAAGTAAGTAAGTAATCCTTCATAAATTTTTGTCCCTGGTACTGCCATTCTTTTTTAATTCTCTGCACAGTGACCTTGTTTGTCATGATTCATGTTGTATCTGAATGTATTTAATACTAGAGAACATACCTGATTTAAAAACCAACATACCCGATGATAAAAGATTATTTTAAAAACAACATACCTGATGATAAAAGTAAAGAATTACAGTTTAAAACAGGTTGTATGTTTGCTTTTTTAACTTAAATACTATAATACTAGCCCAGTACTACCCAAGTTGTAGTTAAGAGTTTTATATGTATGTATATAAAATATGTATAAGGATATAAATTTGATAACAAAACATCATGTTATATATTACTTTTAAAAAATTTAGAATTTTAGTAATGGTAAAATAATTTAAAACTTTAAAAATGTTATAAAGTAATGATTTGTCACATAAAAAAGAAAAAAAAAAGTTTACATAAATTAAAGAATTATTTTTATTAGCTCCACATTTAAATTTAATTTTAATGTTTTTGTTTGTAAGGAAAACTTCATTATATCATTTAGAGACTGCAAGTATACCAGAAATATCTTTCGGATTTTCTGCCAATAAAGGTAATTTTATTATTTGGTTTATCTAAACTTACTGAATTTTTACTATATTCTTAAAAAAATTGCAATAATTAGGTTTCAATGTGCTTTGTTTGTATCAAAAGCTTATTAGAAAAGTGTGTTGCATATTTATTGAGAGGAAGACCTTCATTTAGCTTCAAAAAATTCTTTTATTTCTTCAAATAAAATAAATTAACTTTAAAAACAAAACAAAAACTTCCATCAATATCATTACATTATCATTAACACTTCAGTAAATCAATATATTTAAATAAAAGAATAAGTTTTTCTTCTATAAAGTTTTATGAATTTTATAGTTGAGCTATTTATCATTAAATTATTGTTTAACTCATTCAGTTGCATTTTGTATGTTACCTTATTTTATTGTTGTTATATTTATCTAAGTTAAAAGAATTTACCAACTTATAATATATACACATTATATAACATAAAAATTCCTTGGTAATAGTAATAATATGAAAATGAGCGGATAAATAATATGTTAAAAAAATATTGTAGTAAGGCTAACTAAATTCTCTAATAAGGCCAGATAAATTTTAGCCAAATAAGTTGTTAAAATTTTTTTAGGGTGATATAACAATTATACAACTCGTGATATAAAAACAATGTTTTTAATTTACATATTAGCATTATTGTTTTTTTTCATTCTGAAGCCTTTCATTGTTGTAAGCATACTTTTTATTTTTTATTCATCTTTTTATTTTTTTAACTTTTTGTTTGGTGAAATATTTGTTTTATATCTTCCTTCATTTGTTTAAAAAAGTGTTTATAAAAAAAAAAAAAAAAAATTATTATTGTAAGTACTGTTTGGGTGCATTTTCTGTCTCAATTATTTTAAATATTCCTCTACTAATCTTTATTTTTGTCTTAACAACTGTCAAAATATCCTTTGTTCAAAAAAATAATTCTCCTTTATTCTAATGTACTTCATTTCTTCCTTCAGGCGCTCACTGCTTGTGTGTGAACATTCTGCAACTTTATATGCCAAAGTTTTTAAATAACTTTTTATTTCAATACCCAACCATAAAGAAACATAATCTTAACAATTGTGAATGTTTCTTATTGTTCAACATTCATAATTAGATATTTAGTATTTTATATTTCCAATAATTATTGAAACCAGATAATCAATCAATAAAATAACATTTCCCTACTTTGGGTTGTGACCTGAATTAATTTTATAAATAATTGTATAGCAATTTATAATTGATATACAATTATTTTATAAAATTGAATTTATAATTAAAAGAAATTTTTTTTATTACAGTGTTGCTAGAATAATATACATGAAACTTTTTTTTTGTATTATTTAAATACAAGAATAAATTTTTCTTCTTTGTAACTTCTATAAAACAAAAATTTAATAATTTTTGAATAAGTATCTGTTTTTATGTTATCAAATTACTATTAAATAATTGTTTAACTTCATTAAGTTGCATTTTTATATGTTAGCTTGTTTATCATTGTTATATTTATCTAAGTTAAGAGAATTTACCATGTCTGTTATAATTTTTAGAAGAAGCAACATCACAACTTTGCACAAGTTACTAACCACAAAGGCTGAAAAAAAAAAGATTTAATTTGATTTGTACATTTCCATTTCATGTGAACCTGTTACAAAATATTGTTTAATAGAACTAAAAGTGTTAATAAGTCTGAGGTTAAATTAACTGACTAAAAACATCAAAGTAAGAGCAGTGCAAGGTGGTTCGAAAAACAACACTTTAAAAAGCATATGTATTCGTACCCTTAATTTATTAAAATTAATAAAATAATTTACTTAAAACTATTTTTAGAGGTAGTACCAGACCTTTAACATCAGTCATTTGTTAATTAAATTGCAGTAATTTATATGGAATGTGGCATAATTCTTTAAGTAAATACATTCATGGTGTAGGCAAATTGTTGTATTATTATTTATTTCAATCCCAACATTTTATATAGGATTTAATCCAGGAGAGATTTCTGGCCAATCAAGTAATGAAAAATTCTATTTTGATATATATTTTTTAATTGATTAAACTGTGCCTCGTTATGCACAAAGATTTTTTTTTTATCTGGCCCAAACCATTCTGCTAATTATGGCAACAATCTTTGTTCCAGGACTTTTTTATATTGCAACTGATTAATTATTCCCTAGATATTATATTGCATCCCCATTCCCCTTTTACATATCATAGACCAGATCATCACAGAAGTGGGGTGTTTAACAATTTGAATGATAAAGTTCAATAAGTTTTTTTTCCTTTTTTTTCTCCTTTACATATTGATCCTTCTTTGTTAACACTTAAAAAGTACTCTTGTTGCTATTGTATACTTTAAAATATTACATAAGGATTGTTGAGTAAATCTTTTTTGATGTAAAGTTTTAAGTAAGAAAATGAATATTTTAAAATCATTTGAGTTAATATTATTGATTTTATTGATCTAACCATCTTCCATTAAATTTCTGTATTTTTTTGCCCACTTCAGCTTTTTTTGCATTGTTTTTGGTATCAGTTTAGGTTTCTTAGTTGGACATCATGAAATGTAATAAAGATTAAGATTACAGTAATTGACTTTAATTAGAGTTAGGGTAAAACATCTAGTACTCCCCATGCACTCTTATGCTTCCTGGTATTTAAAATTCACCTCTCCATGCTATTTGGTCTTAAAAAAGATTATGTGTCTTAATTTATAAAATTTTCAAAGTTTCAGTCCGTTATGATGCAAACATCAGAGTTTTTTTTAGACATGATTTCAGAAGTTTCTAGCTATTACTTTTTGGACTGCATGTTTTTTAGTGACCAAGTGGCAAAAGCTAATTGCATGGCAAATACTGAATACTTTTTCTCAAGTGGTTTATTGTAGAACTTTAGAAAATGTCAATGAAAAAATTATGTCAAGCAAAAAGTAATAAAATTTCATTTTCAAATTTGAGTGGCCACCATGTAACAGCACCTCAAAAGAAAAAAAAATACATAACAATATAAACAATAGACAGAAATAATGCCAGTATAAACAATGTACAGATATACATGGCAATATAAACAATTAACAGAAATATATGCAATATCTATAAAATATTTACAAACAACAATAAATTTTTTTATGCATGCCTATTTTTAAGATATAGATAAAAATGATTCAACTTTTACCTGATAGAAGACATTTTCCTTAATTCTTGACCGTTTTTTCATAAATTAATAAAATAGATCTCATTCAGCTAAAGTAGTAGAAAAGAGAGTGATAGTAGAGTGAATAGATCATAATTGAGGTATTTCATGGACTATACCACCTGAAGAAAAATAAAAAAAAACGAGTGATATTCAGGTTCAGAAATAAGACACAAAAGTTGTAAAGGAGTAAAGTTGGGTGATTAGTCTTGAAAAAGAGTTACAAAAGTAGATTAGTATGTGAGAAAAAATCTTTGTTATATTATTTAAATGTTTATACCAGGGGTCGCTAATCTTTTCCTCGCAAGCATCATGTGGTTTTTTATTTCAAGATAGAGCTCTTTAGCTCCATGCACAAATATATATATATATATATATATATATATATATATATATATATATATATATATATATATATATATATATATATATATATATATATATATATATATATATATATATATATATATATATTACAACTAAATATAATGACTCCTAATTATTATAATGTAATTAATTATAGTTATATTGCTATAACTTATAAAAGAAGCAACATATAATAAATACACATAATATAACATTAAAATTCCTTCATAATAGTAATAATATGAAAATGAACAGATAAATAGTGTTAAATATGTTAAAAAATATTGTAATAAGGTTTAAATACTCAGATATACATGCAATATATGCAATGCACAAAAGTATAAATATTTATACATGACAGTGTAAATAGAAATTTATGACAATATAAACATTGCGCAGAAATACACTCTAACATAAGCAATGGGCAAAAATACAATACAGTCTAAATTAAATAAAACTTTAAAAAAATTTTTTTTTTTTATCAAGTGATTTTATTCTTATATTAAAATTTCTAGTTCATCTATTTAGAGACTTAATTGGTTTTTGTTAACAGTGACTTTTTATCTGTAGTTTTGGCAAAACTAAATATCTTTACTAAAAGTTACGATATTTACAAATTTTAAAAAAATTTTTAACTTTCAGTGTGTGGAAAATATTAAAAATATTGTTAAAATAATTGGTTTAATAAAAAATTTAAGTTTAAACAAATTATGACTCTTAAAATCAAATTAAGGCTTTTTTAAAAATTAGGTTCTTAGCATGAAAGATCAGTTTAAAGGCAATTTTGTTGGAGATATTCTGCTAATTCCAAAAATAGTTTTAGATTTTCAAAAAATTCCAAATTAAACTATTAATCCATTAAAAAGTTTAAAAAGTTTTTATAAGTAGAAAAAAGTTTTTTTTTAGTTTTTATTTAAACAGAACTTCCTATAATCAATTAAAAGTTAATAGCTTATTATGTTTGTTATTTTTCTACTTTTCTAAATTTATTTATGTTAACTTATTTTATTATTTTTTCAAACTGATTGAATTTTTTTTATTTGGGTTAAATAAGTTTTCATACTTTCATGATTAATTTTGTACACTTATACTCTTGAAGTGCAAAAGTGCAATTTTCAATTTCAATTTCAAAAATCTTTATTTTTTAAATTTCTAAATCTCTAAAAGAGAAGCCTTATACTGAGGAGACATTGAAAAAAGCATTAGATAATATTGAAAATGCTGAGTTAAGCTTAAGCTCAATTCTACCCCATACCAAAATCAATTTTTCCAACTGAAAACAAAATAAGACTTCAGTAGTTGGTAGTCGCATTACAACAAAAAACATTTTGGTTTGGCAAAAATAGGTTTTGGTAAAGCCATGAATTTGTGGAATTGTGACAAAACTAGTTTCAATGGTGACAAAGTCAAAGCGTCCACTAGTATTAACTGGAAATAACAATAAAGTAAACTACACTGTTT